GGCTCTTGGTCCTCAGGGATGGCTTTGCTGACGAGGTTGCGGTTTGACTTAGTTCTCCCCATGATCAGTGGTTAGCTGTGCTTGGTAGCGACGAAGGGTGCTAACTTGATTGTTCTAGCTCTCAACGAGAGCACCAAATGATAGAGTATATCTAGAGAGAAGTGAGAGCTAGAGAGAGAAGTTCAATGATATGCTTCAATAGAATGATTTTGTCCCCTCTATAACTACTCCCAAGGGGAGTATTTATAGAGAAAATTAGGGTTGGGCTCCCAAGCCTTGGGCTTGGGAGGCCCATTTACAACTGGACCGCTACTGGGCCGAATACAAAGCCACTAATGGGCTGTATAAATGAACAAGTATAAAATCCGATTCTGGGAGGTCTTCTTGGCCGACAAGGGCGTGGCCGACGAGGGCACGGCCGACGAGGGCACCCGGGTTCCTTGGACTCAGGACCATAATCCGAGTTGGCTCCTTTTCGGCCGACGGAGGCGTCTTGGCCGACGAGGGCGCCACTCTGTTGTCTTGTGCTTTCTGTTCTTCCGAGTATGTGGGTCCTGGGGCTCAGACCCATATACTCCATCACTCTTACTTTAGGCATGTTTGGCAATCAACGGTCACTACCAAAAAAAGTCGCCATAAGGTCGGATCTTGGCACAGATCGCTTCACAAAAATCCCAGACTATCGCTTTTGAGAAGTCCAGTTGTAGTAGTTTTCAACAAAACCATGTGTATATAAATGCCAACAAACCTCCCCACCTTCAACAAATTTGTTATTTTTACACTCTGTACAAGGACGTCTTATTTTACCTGCATCCATATAGCGTGTTTGCCCTTGTGCGAATCTAATAAATTCGTTAACTCCATTTTCGAACTCTTTTTTCAATCCTCTACCATTTTCCTTGTAGCGGTCATACATCCAACTTCTAGTTTGTCTATACATTGTGCCTGAATATTAAAACATATCTTAATGATTTTTTGGCAGTATATCTTAACGAAATTAATTTATTAAATTTACAAATTAACGTCTCACATTGTATCTCACAAATTTACAAAATATCTTAATGAATATTTTTGCAGTACATCCAACCTCTACATTGTATATATCACGTTTTAAAGCTAACACTACAATTCAATCAATATAATTAAGACAAATACTACTGATAACAACTCATAATATGGATATGATCAAATTAATTTAAAAACAGAATGGTCGAAATTTACATACCTTAAGTACAACGACGATACCAAGTAATACGAGTATAAAGTAAGGAATCCAAGTAGAAACCTCCAGATATCAAGTAATATAACTTTCAACTTCTATGCAGAATTTATCATACACAAATATTAAAGAGATCATTTTGAGAGATGTGTAGTATGTTTCACACACCAAACATGTATTTGTAGAATTAGTAGGCACGGATCTTGGGACGGAAATACACCAGCCAAAACGTACCAACGGCCTTCATTGTCTAGGATATTGGCACGGAAATTCATTGAGGCAGAATGTGGGACGGGCAAATTAACGGTTATATTTTGGCACGGCTTTTGGGTCCGATATGCGCCTGCCAACATAACGGCTACATTTTGGCACGGATATAAGGACGGAAAGGGGGTGAGCTGAATTTGATGCGGCGTTGGCGCGGATGTAGGCACAGAAACGGTTGACACGGAATTGAACCGCACCAACTTCAAAGAAAAAGCGCCACCCGTTGGGTCGGACATAGTTCTCTGCCAAATTGTCTCGGAATTTGCGAAGGATATAGCCACAAGACAACTGATTTGAAGTTTTTTCGGTCTTGGCACGGAAGTAGGGTCGGAAAGTCCGAGACAACCTACGTGGCACGAATTTATTCATGCCAGAGGCGGAAAAAATCGACTATTTGGGCTTTCCGCGCCAATATCCACGCCAAAATTGTCTAGGATATGTTCTGTGCCTAAATCCGTGTCTATAACGAGTTTTTTTGGTAGTGGGTTAATGTTAGCGGATTGTGTTTATGCATACGTATAAGGTATATCTATTCCTAACCGACATTAACCTTATCCTTATGTACGCAGGCATAGTAGCCTGCAATTTTCTAACGCGAAGCAGAGTACACGAGCGATTAAAAGCACAAAGATTACACCAATACAAATTAAAAGAGAGATCACAGCAACTCAACAGAGCATTCACGTTCTAGAGCAGAGAATTATACGTGTACCTTTGAATATATAATTTTTTACTAAAAAAATATTATTGACATAAATTAATTAACTTTATGTTCATCATCTTCATCAAGACGGATGACATACGAAAAATTAGTGCAACTGCTTTGTTTATTATTGTTAAACCTTAATTTCGGATTTAAAAAATCTTAATTTCAGGATACATGTTGGTAAAATGTCAGAAGAAATAATTGCATAGCTATGATTAAAACAAAGTTTGTTTACGAAAATGTGAATAGTGACTAGAATAATAATGAAATCATAGTAGCTCATGCTCAATTTTTTTAACTTAGGCTAAAGGGTCAAATAGGCCCCTGAACGTATACAAATTGCTCAATTCGCACCCCGAACCCAAATAACCTCTGATCTGGCCCACCAACCCCCATTTTTTGTTCAATCCCTACATTTACCCGATCGGTAACCGCCCGTTTTCTCCCCTTAAATGCCCAGTCAGCAAGTTTTGTCCCAACTCCCCTTAAACCTACATCTCATTGAATGCTGACTCATTAAATACTCCATCCAACCATATTCGTCCATTAAAACCTGGAGGAAACTGAGTGTGTATCTTCTTCTTTGTAGAAAGCCATGGCGGCTTCATCTTCTTCTTCGCTGGGAAGGAAACTGAGTGCGTATGACCCGAACTGTCTGTGTGGTGTCAAAGCTCGTTTGTGTACAACCCGGGAAAGTGGCCGGCAGTTTTATGGATGTCAAAGATGGAAGGTATGTATTTGTGAATTTGATTTGGTAATACAAATGAAGTAGGGCTTTTATGGGGGGGGGGGGGGTCTGGTAGTCTTTATGTTCTTTGTTGAAGCAACATAAATTGGAAAGAGGAATTGGTTTATAGTTTTGTTCTTAGTTTCTTGTATAATACACAAATTGGTTTGTGTGATAATTGTAGGACGGTTTAGGCTGCGAATATTTTGTATGGAAAGAGGATTTAGCAGGTTTGCATGAAGAGAAAGAAGCATACATGGGGGGCCCTGGTTCAAAAGAATGCTCAAATCATGACCTCAAAAGGATGATGTTAGTTATGCAACGTGACATACAAACCATCAAACTGATTCTTGAAAGTGAAGCTAAAGAGAAGTCATTTTGGAAGAGAATGTGTCAAGGGGTTGTGATGTTTGTTGTTGCAGGTCTTATTCTTAAGAAATTGTAATAGATTAGTGGGTTTTGTAGTTTTCAATGTACTTGGACCACTTTAACAATGTAGTAAAAGAATGCAGCTTTGTTACTTGTCTTGTGACTTCTGTAAATATCTGTTGTGATTCATAGAACTTGTAATGACAATTTAAATGAGAAACAACCATTTGATCACATCTGTCAAACACTATCATTATGATATACACAGAACTAGCCAAAAAATACCCATAAAGGCAGATACTCCTAATCCGGACAACCCATGAAATGCCCATCACATTTACCCTTTTCCATCAAAAAGTGATAAAACCATCTGCCTGTAAAGCATACCCATCAGTGCCATCACCCATGTGATAAAAGGCAAAGCCCTTGAATAGAAAGGAGCCATAATCTGAAGAAGCAAGTGTACAACAAACAAGCTGTAGGAACGAATAAAGCCAGACTATAACCCACACCCCACCACAAACCAATAATGCATATCCAAGACCCCACAACTTTATGCAAGACCACACCTTTACAAAGAAGAAAAAATGCATATGTCATAAAAGTGAACCATTAAACTAGTAAACCCAGCAGTACACATCCGAATACATAAGTAGGTTCACCAAACAACCATTACATAGTGAAAACACATAAAGACCATTACTTTAACCACCTAACATTAAGCCCCAAAATCAGCATCCACCAAAGTGCAGTACCTTTACTTTAACCACCCAAAAACCATAAAGACCAAGCTATCATAAATATGCATTACATTTGTTATACACCCCCTACTGAATTCAGTTCCTACCCCCCCCCCCCCCCTTCCCCTTCCAGCTCTTCCACCCCTTCCTCTTCCAGCTCTTGAAGCCCCGGAAGGTTCACTTGTTCCAGCTCCTACAGCCCTTTGACCTCGTCCAGCTCTTCCACCTCTTCCTCCTCTGCCACCTCTGGAACCCCTACCTCCCCTCACTGATTGATGACTTCCTGGTGCAACTGTTGGACATACATGGCGTTGATGCCCCTTTTGCTTACAAAGGGAACATGTCATCACCCTTCCCTTCCTTGACAGCTTGCCTGCTGGAGGCTCAGATTCCTCCCGGACTCTTTTTTTCTTTGGGCGTCTAGTCATTTTTTTTTGGTGCAGGGGGGTGTATTTTCTCTCCTTGAACTGTAGGCCAAGCCATTTCCCCATTGATTGGTTCCAAAGTGTAGGAATAGGTTTGTTTGAAAGCAGAAATTGAGTAACAGTCATCAATATAACCTTCTGGATCTTTCCCCTGATCAAACATTGCACATATAGCATGCTGGCATGGAATTCCAGTCAACTCCCAAGATCTGCAAGAGCATGTACCTCCCTCCAGCTTCACCTTGTATTGATACTTCCCTCTCTTTACCTCAAATCCATCATCTCCATTGAATACCACCCTCCACTTTGAACTTCGTATTATGTTAGCATTCAGAATCTTCTTAATGTTAGGGCAGATTCTTCCTTTCCATTTTGCAGCTAGGTCCCTCTTCTTAGCAATTCTCTGCATCATTTGAATCCTTATGTCTTCTAGCATGGGAATGATGGGTTTGCTCCTACACCCCACCAATGTACGATTAAAAGCCTCTGACATGTTGTTGTCAACTGCATCACATTTCACAGAAGTCCTAATGAAGGCTTTGCACCAGTTTTTGAAAGGATATATTTCCAAATCTTGTTTTGCAGCAGGGTCCTTTTTTTGAAGCTCTTGAAGCCACTCCTGAAGTTGTGCCTCACATGTGGACCTAGCACACATCCAGAACAACTGCTTCATGAATTTCCCTCTGTGGTTCTTGCTCCAGTTTGCATGAATGTGTCTTGCACAATTTCTATGTTCAGCTTGAGGGAGTAAGCTCTGGATGACATTGGTAAGACCCTGCACACAAGTCATACATTAAGTGCAATACATAAACTGAAATAGTATTAAGTAATCACATTTAGTGTTAAGTAATTCAGTTGAGGGAAGTATTATTATTCAGTGTAGGTAACATACCTTTTGTTGATCACTTATGACTGTCCAGGGGCTGCTATCATCAATTTCCAAATCATGCTTCAACAACTCCAAAAACCATTGCCAGGAAGATGTATTTTCAATCTCAACTATGGCCCATGCAATTGGATACATGTTGTTGTTAGCATCCCTTCCAACAGCTGTAAGGATTCCCCCCTTCAATAGTCCTTTTAAGAAGCAACCATCTAGCCCAATAATCTTTCTGCAGCCCTCTAAAAATCCTCTTTTCATGGCACCAAAGCAGCAATATATCCTTTGGAACAAACAAGGCCCATCATCAACAACTCTGGAGGTCATTATCTTGACTGTAGTGTTAGGGATAGAATCTAGCAACTCTTGAGTGTAGTCTCTAAGCCTAGTAAATTGGTCTTCAAAGCTGGCATGTATTCTCTTCTTAATGCCTCTCACAGCCCTCCTAACCATGCTTACAGCAATGTGAATGCCCAACTCAGTCTCTATGTGCTCTTTTAATGCCACATACCCAATACAAGGGTCATCCCTAACCTTGTCTTCGTATTTATCTTCTATCCATTTTCGACTCACAACTCTCAACTTGAACTTGGGATTGCATTTGTGTGTGGTGATCATGGTTTTCAGTTGGAAGCATTTGAACATATCTTCCCAGCTGGCATAAAAAGAGAAGGGACAGTTTTCTTGAATGCATTGTGCCCGGACTCTTTTAGATTCATTCCTTTTAAAATAAATGTTTTTCTTGTGGTGCACTGCATACCTGATCATGGCACTCTTAAACTAAATGTTGTCCTCAAAAAGCATTCCCAACTCAATAAAAGGGGGTTCAATTTCTGGATTGTATGAAGGATGATAATCATTGAGGTTGGATTGCACTTCATCTTCATTGATAGCATTGGTATCTGATGTATAACTGGGAGGATTATCAGAAGGATACATCTCCATGCTATCTTCATACTCAGCATCCTCAGCTTCAAAGTTTGCATTGTTCTGCTCCCTACTATCCAAAACATCCTCATTCTCAGATTGTGAACCCATCTCAAGTAGCTCAACATCGTCCTCAACAGCAGAATCAGTTTGGGTCCCCAAATCTTCATCATCATCAGGTATGTCTTCACAGTTTTGAACCCCTCATCCACTACATGCTGTGGAGGGTTGCAGCAAATACAGTTCACACACTCCATCAGTAGCACACAGACTAACCAACTCCAATGTGGAAGCATCATCTACTAAGTCCCTTAAAGATTCCAAAGGTTCACGAGGCAATTTATACATCAACTTCCCAAAGCCCCCAAATGGTCCGGATTCTATGAACTTTTTTAGATGTGGATAACTTACTACATCAGGGTCACTCTTAATTATCTCTATGCGGCCATTACTATATTCCATAGGAGAGGAGGTTTTAAGGGTGCCACCATAGTTCAAAATTAAGTCTAATGTCTCCCACATTCTGAAACAAAAAAACAATAAATGACTCAGCAAAACAGTACGAAAGATGAAGGACATGAAATGTCTTAGCACATTATACACATAAACACACTTCGCTATGCTACGACATATACGGCTTCAAAACTATTACAGACACAAAACTACAACAGGAGTAAAATCGAATAACCTGAGTGACTTCGTTGACCTTAACGGCTTCAAGGGTTATTTCGTTCTTCCTTTTCGCGCTCAAGACTTCGTTCTTCCTCTTCGCGCTCAAGACTTCGTTCTTCCTCTTCGCGCTCAAGACTTCGTTCTTCCTCTTCGCGCTCAAGACTTCGGTCACTTAACTTAGCCTTCTGCAATTTTACGTTTTCAAATTAGGGCTATTTCGTGTAGGATAATTGTTTTACACGTAGACACCTTGGGGTTGGGGTTATTAATGAGTCAGCATTAAATAGAAATAAAAACTTGTTGACTGGGCATTTAAGGGGAGAAAACGGGCAGTTACCGGGTAAATGTAGGGATTGAACAAAAAATGGGGGTAGGTGGGCCGGATCGGAGGTTATTTGGGTTCGGGGTGCGAATTTAGCAATTTGTATAAGTTCAGGGGCCTATTTGACCCTTTAGCCTTTAACTTAAGTTACCATAACATTACATTATAATAACTATTTGGGTCAATAATAATATTTTTAACTATTTGTGTAAATAAGTTTTATTTTAGTAATATTTTTGGGGAAAAACCATGTCAGAAACCTAATAGTATTCTAAGTATTAGTCATTAGGATGCTAGTTGTAGCTGTCATGCATTTAATATTAGTAGTTAATAATTGTATGTCTGCGCCCCGTCTTATAAATTTAAAGGCTTTGTTCTAAATAACAAAATGAGAACCCACATATGAACATAAATAAAATCACAAATAATAAAAACTCACAAAGTTCAACAAAATTAGTTGTGTCCAAGTATTCATATAGAAAAACACATGATTTAAAATAACTAAATATAATTATTATGCTATCATTTGATTAAAGATGCCCTCCTTGCTGTCTTTGAAGCAAAATCATCTGTCAAATTCTTGTACTCGATTTTCTCCAAATAGTCATTATATTCTCAATTGTTATCATCGTCAAACTGTTGAGTCTCTCTTGTGACATTGTAGATTTCAACAATTTGCTAAAACAAGGATTGCAGACAGCCCTTTTTTATTTATTTATATTATTAAACTATTGTTGATCTCGTATGCATTTATTGCATTCATTCAAATGGTCAATTCATTCTCTTATTTTTTGGAAAGTACGAGAAATTTATGTATTATCCTTTTTTTAATGTACATTGAGCAGACATTTTTTCCTTTTTAAATGAACCGGCCTTATTTTTCGTTTTAAACGTGATCCTTTATTCAAAATAACAGTATTTGTTTAAAATGTATAAAGCTAATTAGGGTGCATATTGTGAAATAAGAGCAAAGTCATGTAGAAACGATTAGGTAACATTTGTCTTCGCGTGTTAAATTGTGTAATAAATAAAAAAGTAAAATTGATGTTTTTTTCTTGCTAAAGTTACTTGTAAAAACCATTTTAGCTACTTTCATGTAATTTTTCTTAATTTTATTAAATAAAATATATTTTAAACATTATTTTTTCATTATTCAACATATTTAGTCAATTCATTATTTTATTAAGTATGATATGTATTAAAATTATATGAATAAACTATTTCTATACCTTCTTGAATCTTGTATTAAGATTCTCTAAATTAATTGACAGGAGTTTATACATCACTATTTATAGTGGGTTTTTTTAAAAAGAAAATGATAACTTTATTTGAAATGAAATGGGAGAGGAGGACATGAAACCTGGCCTCAAATACAAAAGGAGAGAAATTACATCGTTATAGTGGTTGGACTTAATGATGAGTCATCTAATATATGAATTTATAAATTTGGTGACAATAACAAATTGAGTCATTTGCCTAACTATGTTGTAAGGCTGAAAAATTATATACTCCCTCCGATTCAAATGAAATTCACACATTCCTTTTTGGGTAGGTTCAAAATGAACTTTACACTTCTTCTCTCTTACTTATTTGGCAAATTATTTACATCAAAACAGTACAAAACAATGCAGAACAGTGCAAAACAGTGTCAAACAGTGTCACAACAGTGTACTCTACGGTAAAGTCAAATTTATTTCCTTAATTTGTGTGAAGTCAAAGTGTGAATTTCATAATTAGACAATATTTGTCTCATCATAGATAAGAAATCATATAAAGAATATTATTTGAACATCCTGTAGATCGATCACACAGACCAATGTTGATTTGGGATTCGTATATTATACATCTGGCTCTACGGTGAGCACCGTACAGCCGGCCCAACAAGGAATAAACTAATAGGCAGCGAAACAGGCCCATAATAAGTCCATACGTAATAGGCCCAAGGAAAAAATAGCAAAACAATTCAGTGGCATTTTTGTAATTAATGTGAAAATCGTGGTTTTTGCTAAATGAGCAATAGTGTACTGTTAATGAGCAATAGTCCAATTTTAATGAGCACCGCGTTATTACAAGAAAGTTGAAATCACAACAAAAAACGGTGGCATTTTCGTAATTCACTTTCTTTTTCTTATTTTTTTTATAAAAACTTATTAAATTATATCTATAATCAACTTCTATAAACTTCAATATGTGAATTTAATGTAATATGATATTTTTGAAATATGCATTGATATGTCATTTTAAAAAATGAGCACAATATCAGTATCAAATGAGCATACGCAACTTTCAAAATGTGCATAAGTATGAAAATCGTAAGGTTTGTTAGTTAGACGTCACGACATTTTCGTTGAGCATCAAACCTCTTATATTGAGATAAAAATAATGCTTTCTGTTAAATGAGCATTAATGAACTTTTAATTAGCACCAGACCTATTCTGTTGAGTATTAGGAGTCTAATATTGAACACACAATCTCTGCTTCATATCTTTTAATTCACTTTCTTTTTATATTTTTCTTTTATAGAAACGTATTAAATTATATCTACAATCAATCCCTATGAAGTTCAATATGTTAATCTAATATAATATGATACTTTTGAAATATGCATTGATATGACATTTTAAAAATGAGCATAACATCAATATCGATTGAGCATATGAAAATAATTGAGCATCAAGACATTTTTCATTGAGCATTAAACCTCCTCTACTGAGTATTAAAAATGTGCAATTCAGTACCGATTGAGCATTCATAAATTATAAAAAGAGCACTGATAGGAAAATCATACTCCCTCCGTCCCGAAATAATTGTCCTGCTTTCTTTTTCAGTCCGTCCCGAAAGAATTGTCTCCTTTCCTTATTTGGTAAACAAATTTATACAAAATAGTGTCAAACAGTGCAAAACAGTGCCAAACAGTGTCGCTACAGTGTCAAACAGTGTCGCTACAGTGCCAAACAGTGTCGCTACAGTGCGAAGTCAACTTTGTTTTCTTAATCTCTGTGAAGGTCAAAACAGGACGATTATTTCGGGACGGAGGGAGTAAGTTTTTTTTAGTTGAGCGAGTATCAAGACATTTTCATTGAGAATCAAATCTTCTCTGTTGAGTATTAAAAACATGCAATTGAATAACATGGTATGTGCTCTCGTATCTGTAATTAAATCCTACTTGAATATAATGTAATATGCTACTTTTGAAACCAAGCACTCCAGCCTAGCTGGTTGTAAGGTTATCGTGCTTAGTGAGAGGTCTCGAGTTCGA